CGAACTGTAGCTGTGTTTTAAACTGTCATTAAGAATTGCAAATCCACTTTTCTTAATCCATATAGGGTTCCAGTTGGTTTTGTAATGTGTAGTCATATTTATTGGGCTGTATGTATAAAACTGAAGCAAATGCCTTTTCCTAAAATTTCAGACCTTTTACTCAATTTGTTAAAATAAATTTAAGTGAAAGGTATGCAAATTTAAGAAAACGCAATTGCTTAGTTTTTATTCATTGTACTAATGTAATTTCGTTTGTATTTTTATTTTGTTAAAAAAGTAAAATAAAAACATTTGACGTTTTTTTGGCCGAACTAACGATTTTTTTTAGGGTAAATTGACGGATTTTCAGCGAAAGCTTTCGGCAACGTTGGGCACATGTATGACATTGTAGACGGAGAGCTCCGTTACAAGACATTGCTGAGCACTTTAGGCAAAAAATCGAACACATTTAGTCTGTTCCAATAGCAGTCCGGTTTACAGGATTTAGTCAGAACTTACAGGAAGTCGTTCCTATTGACATAAAACCTGTAAGTGGGAACACATTTGAGAGAGTAACTGAGCAACTGTTCCCAGTCAGAAGTTACAGGATTTATTCTGGAGTTTCTTTTCCTGTAAGTTCATGAAAAGTGTCAAACGATCAGCTGATTTGCATATGCAAGCAAAAACTAACAGCGGTGAAGGCAAAGTACCTTATATTTGTAAAAAAAATGGAAGTAAACAACGAAATGTTTGAATATGTATAGATTTTAATAATTATTTAGTGATATTTCAGCTAAATCAGTGTTGTACAAATGACATGTAAACAAACCGACTGACGTTTTTACAGGAAATAGTGCTTTTTGCGTTCCTATGCACCTCTGCATCTGTTCTCCTTTTACTCTCATTTGAGAGAGTAAAATTGTAGTTTGACAGTTCCACAGGTTTTAGTCCGAAGTTCAAAGGAACAGACTAATTTACACTTTTGTTTTTGTAGTATGGCATAAATGAGTAGTTTGACTATTAGTACTGAGGACTTTCTGATGACAACATTGAGGGGAAAGTACTCAATTTTTGCCCATGGCCTGAACGAAAATGACGAATTTGATAAGCACTTTTGTAATCTTATCTTATATCTTATAAATATAAATATTATAAATGTGAAAGTTTGTATGTTTGGATGTTTGGGAAATCATCACGCGGAAACGACTGAACGGATTTGCATGAAATTTTGTACGCAGATAGCTTATGGGCCAGATTGGTTAATAGGCTATTTTCGTAAGAATTGCCACCTGTTAAAAAAAGTTTCATTTATTTATTATGCGGCAACGACTGAATGGATTTGCATGAAAATTTGCACACAGAT